CCCCTGAGAGCAGTCAGGTACTGTGGTGAACAAGGAAGATAAAAGTCCTACTCTCATGAAACTTGAATTGTAATTAAGTTGTTGAAATCAGGGACTTCCCCGGCCATTCAGTGGTTAAGACTTTACCTTCCAAAGCTGGGGGGGGGGGGCGGGTTAGGTTCAATCCCTGGTTAGGGAGGTAAGATCCCACATGCCTCATGGCCAAAATATCAGAACATAATCAGAAGCAACATTGTCACAAATTCAATGAAGACTTTAAAAATGGTCCACAACAACAACAAAAAAAATTTTTTAAGTTGTTAAAGTAATAAATTTAGTTTGTCTACTCAACTACAGAAAAATGTGAAGGGGCAAATACAAAACAAAGAAATGATGAAAAGAGATGCAAACTGAGATAATTTATTTGTAAACTGAGAGATGGTTTCTAACATACATAATAGCCAACAAAACAGGAAAAGTACAGCCTAGTATACAGTAAGAACTTAATACATGTTTAATAAATGTGCCCATTCCTTTCTCTAGGTTTGTTTCCTTACGCGTAAAATGATAGGGGTTATCTTTTTTTTTTTTTTTTTTTTGGCCTGACCACACAGCCAGTGAGATCACAGTTCCCTGACCAGGGATCCAACCCGTGCCCCCTACACTGGAAGCTTGGAGTCTTAACCACTGGACCACCAGGGAAGTTCCATGATAGAGGTTATCTTGAATCCAAATTCAACATTCGTTAATGTCTACTTATTCAAATCATCATGGCATGTTAAGCAGCATTCTTAAGAACAAATAGCTCTACAAACAGGACCTATCATTGTCTGTGAATGATGGGCCCAAAGAAACTCCACTGAGCTCAGGCCTTGCATTTCACATGAGCTTTAAATATATCCCTTCAGTTAATATTTAAAGGGAATCAGCTATACAACCATAGAAACATTGGATAACACTGACAGAAATGTCACCCTTTCACTTCTATAACAGGGCTATACCACCAGGGGAATTAACATTTAAAATAACCATTGTAAACAACCTGAAGGGAAAAAAGTGAGTGAGTGAAAGTCGCTCAGTCTTGTCTGACTCTTTGCAACCCCATGGACTATACAGTCCATGGAATTCTCCAGGCCAGAATACTGGTGTGAGTAGTCATTCCCTTCTCCAGGGGATGTTCCCAAACCAGGGACTGAACCCAGATCTCCCACACTGCAGGCGGATTCTTTATGAGCTGAGCCACCATGGTTTTAAAGACAGTTTCCCCAATCAAGAATTCAAATTTTACCAGTTTTGAAATTAAATATGCCCCAAATGTCACAGCCTAAGTAAAATCAAGGAAAAGGGGGTTTAGTTTCCTTGAGTGTTGCAATTTAGTTTTTTGAAAATCAACCATCACTTGGCACTGTGGAAATCCCCATTGTTAATACCTTAGAAGAAAGTCATCACAAAAGACTTTCACAAAGCATCCATAAAACAACATATTATTCTCATCTGTTAGTGATGAGTAGAGAAGTAGGACTGGAATGCAAATAACTAAAGCAAGAGACCACTATTTCAAAAACAAGAAAACTAGAGTTCCAAGAATACAGCACTATCTACTTCTTAATTTCTGAGAAAACAGAAAAGATTCAGTTTTGTGTCACAATTCGAATAGCATAAAAAGTATGTGGGGAGGCTTCCCTAGTGGTCCAGTGGTTAAGAGTCTGCCTAGCAATGCAGGGGAGACTGGTTCAATCCCTGGTCTGGGAAGATCCCACAGTGCAACTAAGCCCATGTGCCACAACTACTGAGCCCAAGTGCCTAAAGCCCATGCTCTACAACGAGAGAAGCCACTGCAGGGGGAAGCGAGGCCACCACAACAAAAGATGAGCCTCTGCTTGCTGCAACTAGAGAAAGTGCGCATGCAGTAACAGACACCTGGCACAGCCAGAAATAACTAGCTGAGTAAAACCTATTTAACAAAAAGGAAAAATATTTCTAAAAATTAAAAACAGAAAGTACATGAGTTAAGGTTCTTTTTCAAAACTGTTAACTGTTTTTCAATTGCTGAATCAGTAAAATATATTTAAACACTTTTGAAAAAGTTTTTTGCAATAGAATATAATTTTTTTTTTACGTATCTTGGCATCTTAATTTTATACTGCATAAACTCCTATTTTGCCGGTATCTGAAAAAAGTAAGTAAAGGTAGTAGATAAAAATTAAGCTAACTTACTTTAAAACTATAATCTAAGGAGGTTAAAAACTATGTGAAAAGGAAACGTTTTCCTAAATGTCAGCCTTAAAAACCCAAACATGTGTTCCTTCCTTTGCCTTCTACCCAATCTGCACCCACAATAAATGGTACCTAATAGCATAAAAGAGGTCTCTGTTAAAGAGAATATCAGAATCAAGGGAGGAAAAACCTGCACTGCTAAAAACTCATTCACATCTCTGGTTTGAATACTGAAGTATAAATCAAATAACTAATCTGTTCCCAACCAGTGCCTTAGCCAATGCATTACGAGTCACATGATTTAAAAAATGTTTCTCAAAATTGTTAGTATTCCACAGACAAGAAAGATATAGCCTAAGACTTCATGAACCACCTACCCACTTACTTCTGCTTCCCAATGGTAAACAGAAATATTAAAAAATAATGAGTATGAAAAATTATCAATTACAGAGAAAAAAGGCACCACCACATTAGAACTATTACTTCAACATAACTCAGAGAGTAGAGTATAAACCATATCTCACTCTTCTTTTGATCCAGCACCATTTTAAGACATACATAGTAAAAAATGCAAAGGAACCAGGTCCCCTGAAAGTCTCTGTAGGGCCACCAACAGTCTCTAAGTCAAACTCTATAAACACAATTAAAATGATCAAGTATTGCTATTAATGCTAAGGATTACCTTAAAGGAAGCTTAGAAGAGTTAAATAATTATTACCAAAAATCTGTGCAGACATAGGTGAAGAAAGACCAAACAAGAACCATAGGGAAACTTAACTAGCAAAAAGACAAAGTAAAAAAAACTCAAAGAAACATGTATGATGTCTCTAGTCTCTAAAATAACCCTAAGAAAAAAAGTTTGACCATGCAACAAGGAATTCAGACCTGAAAGCCATTTACTATCTTTTCACTGAGCACAGAACATTTCCACCCAATGGCCCTCATATGCAACAGGCTACCAAAAGTCCACAATTGATCTCTTCCTTTTGATACAAAAGGGCAAAAGGAGAAGTGAAGAAAGAAAATGCACTTTCTAATCTAAACATCATGGTTGAACTTGGGATCAATAACTTAGAAGCTATAGGAGAGTTCTCCAACATCAAAAAGAAATCTAAAAATTGCAGAAGCAGGCTGCCCAAGGGCAATAAACAAAATAATTGTTCCATCATAAGCAACCATTCTGTATAAATAAATACTATTTTCTGCTTACAGATTTAAGCTGATATTGATCAGCTAATGAAAATGTGGTTAAGAGATTGTCCTTCTGGTTACTGTTGTTTAAAAAACAAAACAAAATAAAGCAACCCCACCCACACTGCTGGAAAAAAAGCTTCTGACATATGCACTAAATTTGTTTACTTCGCCACCTCTTAATAAGAGAAATGCTTTGCAACTTGACTATGGTTTAAAATCTTGTTTATTTACTCCCTAGTTAACAAATAAGTCATTTTACTTCAAGGTCAGGTTTGCCATAATAGCATCTTTCCAATTTTATTCCATCACTCAGCACTTCCTGCAATGGAATTTTAGCCATTAACTTTATCTCCTTTTCCTTTAAAGGAAAAAACTAAAAAGATTTTAACATATGATATTGACATGTGGCAAATTAACTTCTTTAAATAGTTCTGTTCCCAGAAACATGGCAGGAAAGACAGTAAATTTCACAGTGATTCAATTGTAAGAGCAAAACCGGGGTATTGCAAAATACTGCTGCGTTTCAGAGGCACGAAAAAAATCCATTTAAATTTTAACAAGGGAACAGCAGTGAAGCCCTCCCACTACTATATTTTCAAGTTATTCATCCCCACCTCTTACTTCTTTTCTGAAGCTATCAAAGATAAGGATTTCTAAGAAATGGCCAAGGTCAGCAAAGTAAACTAGGATCCCTAAAATGAAATACTTCCCAGGTAGAAATAACTGTAATGTACTGGAAAGAGGACTGGGACTAGGAATTTCAAAACCCGATCTGTCCAAACCTGTTGCACTACACCCTATTCTATGTCTGAGACATGACTGGTTAATTTTTTTTTTTTTTAATGTTCAAGCTCTCACTATAGAAGAGATGTTCACTGAGACACAGCATGAACTGAACTTAAAGAATGGGGACTGCCTCGACCCACCTAACAAGATTTCAACCTGGGGTCCCGAATGCTTGCTGTTGGCAAGATCTATCCTGAAACTCAAACATTACACAAACCTCAGCCTTCAGCAGCTTATGACACTAGAGGCACCTCTTAATACTAAACGCAAGTTTCAAAGGATAGCCCCCTCGCGGGGGAATACAGGTTTGTTGGTTTGTTTTTAAGAAACTGAATATAAATTCAAAGATTTTGAAACTTTAAAATCTAAACGTTTGGAAGTAACATCTCAGCTAAACGGCAACGCGGTCCAGCGTTTATAAGCCCAAACTACTTTTCAAGTAAAACAAGCCACTCTGCCCACAGTTACTCGGCATCAAGCAGGTCCACGGCGGGCAGTGTGGACAGAGCACAACGCACAGCAGAACGCCGCCACAAGAGTGGAGGCGGGCCAGCCCCGCGCGGACTGGCGCTCCGACAGAACTCCGGGCAAGGAATCCCCCAACTACCACCCACCTGCTCCCTCCCTCGACCTCGGGTCTCCCCCGTTTCCCCCGAGTCCGGCCCCTCCCCCAGGTTCCTCCCCTCCCCCACCGCCCCGGAGCCGCCCCCGCGCGTCCCAGCGCCCTCCGCCCCAACTACGGCCCCTCAGCCCCGGGTCTCCCCAGCTGCCAACCCCTTCAGCCCCTCCTCCTTTACAGGCAACCCAGTCCTCCGTCTCCTCACCGGGGTTAGCAGTAGTCGCCGCCATGGCCGTAGATGCCACTGCCGCCGCACCACCCCCCCCCCCCAGTGGGAGGAGCCGCCGCCAAGGAACCGGGGGGGAGGGGGAGGGAAGAGCCACTCCCCAGACGCGGCGCCGTACTGCCGCCTCCGCTACCGCGGAATCCAAGATGGCGGCTGCGGCAACCCCCACCGTCCCCAGCCGCTCCGCGGAGAGACCCCACCTCTAGGGCGGGGTCAGCCTCAAAGCCAGCCTCCTCGGGAAAACTGACCAATGAAATCCAAAATCTATCAGAGGGCGGGCCGGCCACTGAGCCGCCAGCCCGTCCTGTGGAGGAGGGTGGGCGAGAAAGAAGTCCAGCTGTCTCCCTAATCCCGCCTCTTCTGAGTTAGAGGTCAATGATCGTGTGACGTCAATGAAAAACAATTTTACGAAAAAGCTTCCCCGGGTGGCGGATTCGCCGGCTTGGCCGTTCTGCATAAGATTTGTTTTGTAAATATTTTTTAGGTGCTCTAATGCGTAAAGTTCACTTAGTGATTTGTAGTCTTTTCTCGTTTTGTCCTCTTTTAAGGACCTTTGTCCCTGTCAATGAAAGTTCTGTAAGTTTTGAATCTCTGCAGGAGACCTAGGTTCAGTCCTTGGCTGGGGAAGATCCCCTGGAGAAGGAACTGGCAACCCACTCCAGTATTCTTGTCTGGGAAATCCCACGGAGAGAGAGATGTGGGCTACTGTCAATGGGGTCGCCAAGGAGTCGGACACGACTTAGCGACTAAACCACCACCATAGAACTGGTAGTGTGAGACGATCTGGGCGATTATGGTCTGGTACCGACAGCCAAAACAGGAAGCAGTATGAAGCAGATTAGATATAACTTTCTTTGATCAACAACAGGGACAGTGAAAGGTTTTTAGTAGAGAATTAATTACTGCGCAGATTTATTTTCTAATGATAGGAAGCATTGAGCACTTTGAGCTAGACACGGTCCAAACTGCTTTATAAGTATCTACTCGTTTAATTTCACATAGCTTTCACAAATTGTCTAATGTAAATTTAATTCTAGTTTTAACAGAAATCCCATTATGCTATTGAGCGTCTTTGAATTCTTATAGGTTGTGTATATACTGCAAAGATTACGTAGATCCATTTCTCTCATTTAGTTATCAGTATAGTTTATCTCGACCAAGATAGCTTAACGTAATTTGTATGTTATTGTTTATATTTGTTAAAATTAAAATTTTCTTTGTTACCACTTTATTGTGTTTTATTTCCAACTCACCAAAAACAGAAAAATCATTCACCCAAAAGAAATACACTGACACATAAGAAGTAGTGGTGAAAAAAGGTAACAAGTACGTCAAAGTTACATAGTAATGGTAACTAGCTATTAAAGAAGACTGCAGTGCAATTATAGACTATAAATTATTGTGTGGCTTTAAATGTGGTAAGTTTCATCCAAGCAGCAATAATAAAAAAAAAAATAGTGACTAGGAAGTACAATTACAAATATCTAAATATTGGATTTTATTGGGTTAGCACACATTTGTCCCTTCCCCACTACTCCCGGACTATTAGGAAATTTCGTCAGTTACTTGGAAAGCCAACAAAGCTTTCAAGTCAATTTTGACCCAAATACATAACCCCATTGCCAAGAAATGTATTTTTCTGGAATAAATACAAAGTAATGTTTTCCAGAATGACACAGATGTTTTCACCGATAAAAAAAGATGAAGTTACATCCCTCATTTTTAAAAAATGGTAAATGCCACTTTGTTTCAGACAAACTTGTGCAACTAACTACAAAGTGAATAAATGTTCTGCAGGGAGAAAGTATAAGGGACTTTTTGCAAACTCGCTAAGCAAGTACACAAAATCATAGTATATACCACATGAAAGGGCACTATCTGCCCTGGACTTGCTAAACAGATGTTTATCTTACAAGTGGACGTAAATGATATACACAATATGAATCATTTCACGGCATATATGCAGTACACAAGGGAAAATGCCCAGAAACTTCTTATTTAGTATGTCATTAAAAATTCAAGTTACAGAAAAAGTGAAATATAAAAAATTTTGTGAGGCATGAGAAAATCTGTAAAACATAGGCTGTGATCAAAACTGATGGAGTTGTAGCTTTGGGTTCACAAAAATATTATCTCTACAATAAGCAAAATGTCAGTCCAATTTGTGTTTTATTCAGAGAACAGTTGGTAGTCAAATGGCATTTCTCCTGATTCTGATTCAACATAAAACAAACCAGTGAAAACTATAAATTTATTACTATACATATAGTAATAGCAAGCCAGTAAGGATAATCTCTGAGAAGAAACTAGCAAATGTTAGAAGACTGCTTTTAAAGTGTGGAGGCCAGGAATGGGGAAGGTGCTCTCATAGTTTCTAAATAAGGACTGGAGGACTTCTGGTAGTGGTCCATTAATTAAGAATCCACCTGCCAATGCAGGAGACACAGGTTCAATCCCTGGTCCAGGAAGACTCTAAATTGACTAAGCCCATGTGCAACTAAGCCCATGTGCCCCAACTACTGTGCCTGCACTCTAGAGCCTAGGAGAAGTCACTGCAATGAGAAACTCAAGTACCACAACTAAAGAGTACCCCCTACTTGCTGAAACTAGAAAAAGCCTGCTCTGCAACAAAGACCCAGCACAGCCATAAATGTATAAGTAAGTAAATAAAACAAAATAAATAAGGGCTGGAGTAAAAACCCCTTCTTTACAGATAATACTAACAAAAACTATTTTAATTTTTCTAAGTAGGCTTATCTGAGCAACATTTTCATTATTTTTATTAATCTTCAATTATTACTTCAAATTCTAAATGCCATGATTTTTAATGTAAAGAACAAGTATCAGGATTTTTGGAAGAAAATAAAACTTTTAAGCAAATGCCTTTACTAACAAAAGTTTATTATTTCCCAACAATACATGATAATTTTCTTTTTTTTTTTAATTTTCTTTCTTTATCAGAGAAAAAAATGGATGACACATTATTCAACATACTTTAAACCACATCCAACTGTTGCAACTGAACAGAAAAATGCTTTTCAGAGCTGAATGCAACCCATGTGAATTGAATACAACTCCTATTCTCTCCCAAGTTGAAATCTTCAACTTTTGAGGTTGTCATTTAGGATCTAACACTTAGGATCTAACACTACTGAAAGCTGTCTTTAATTAGAAGCTCCCCATGATGCTAGATGGCTTCCCTGGTGGCTCAGTGATAGAGAATCTGCCTACAACACAGGAGATGTGGTTTCAGTCTCCAGGTTGGAAACATCCCCTGGAGAAGGAAATGGCAAACACACCCCCGCCCCAGTATTCTTGCGTGGGAAATCCCATAGACAGAGGAACCTGGTGGGCTATCGCCCCTGGAATCACAAAAGAGTCAGAAACAGCTTAGTGACTAAACCAAACAAATATGGTGCTAGATCTCTCTTAGGTTCAAGTGTTCAGCATTATCTGGTAGTCACCAAGCACTCATTGCCGTATCTGATAAACTCATTGTGCCTTTAGATTTTCTAATTTTAGTAGAAATAAATATTAAGAAGTTGATTGTGAAACGTGACCTATTACATGCGTTTTTAGCTTTCCAATATGAAAGAATTACCACTACCACTATTAATTTTTTAACTATCACAAGTTCTGGGCTAAGTTCGTGTTAAGCCAGTTTTTTTAATTACTTAAAATGGTGGTCTGCACACCTGTAAAAGAATGAAACTAGAACACTTTCTAACACCATACAAAAAATGGTGGTCTGCACACCTGTAAAAGAATGAAACTAGAACACTTTCTAACACCATACACAAAAATAAACTCAAAATGGATTAAAGATCTAAATGTAAGACCAGAAACTATAAAACTCCTAGAGGAGAACATAGGCAAAACACTCTCCGACATAAATCACAGCAGGATCCTCTATGACCCACATCCCAGAATTTTAGAAATAAAAGCAAAAATAAACAAATGGGACCTAATGAAACTTAAAAGCTTTTGCACAACAAAGGAAACTATAAGCAAGGTGAAAAGACAGCCCTCAGATTGGGAGAAAATAATAGCAAATGAAGCAACAGACAAAGGATTAATCTCAAAAATATACAAGCAAAAAAAAAAAAAATATACAAGCAACTCCTCCAGCTCAACTCCAGAAAAATAAATGACCCAATCAAGACATGGGCCAAAGAACTGAACAGACATTTCTCCAAGGAAGACATACAGATGGCTAACAAACACATGAAAAGATGCTCAACATCACTCATTATCAGAGAAATGCAAATCAAAACCACAATGAGGTACCATTACATGCCAGTCAGGATGGCTGCTATCCAAAAGTCTACAAGCAATAAATGCTGGAGAGGGTGTGGAGAAAAGGGAACCCTCTTACACTGTTGGTGGGAATGCAAATTAGTACAGCCACTATGGAAAACAGTGTGGAAATTTCTTAAAAAGCTGGAAATAGAATTGCCATATGACACAGCAATCCCACTTCTGGGCATACACACCGAGGAAACCAGATCTGAAAGAGACACGTGCACCCCAATGTTCATTGCAGCACTGTTTATAATAGCCAGGACATGTAAGCAACCTAGATGCCCATCAGCAGACGAATGGATGAGGAAGCTGTGGTACATATACACCATGGAATATTACTCAGCCGTTAAAAAGAATTCATTTGAATCAGTTCTAATGAGATGGATGAAACTGGAGCCCATTATACAGAGCGAAGTAAGCCAGAAAGATAAAGACCATTACAGTATACTAACACATATATATGGAATTTAGAAAGATGGTAACGATAACCCTATATGCAAAACAGAAAAAGAGACTCCGATATATAGAACAGACTTGTGGACTCTGGGAGAAGGCGAGGGCGGGATGTTTCAAGAGAACAGCATCAAAACACGTATATTATCTAGGGTGAAACAGATCACCAGCCCAGGTTGGGTGCATGAGACAAGTGCTCGGGCCTGGTGCACTGGGAAGACCCAGAGGGATCGGGTGGAGAGGGAGGTG